GGGACCAGTTATTGCACTGACCAACTTTGAGGTTTTACAGAATGTGGGTTTTTTTAAAAAAAAAAAAAAAATCAGAGGGAATACCCTGAGCTTTAGATTATAGTAGTCCTTAGACAATGGGAATCAAGAAAGTAGATTAAAGTGGATATTCTAGGATTATATTATATATATAATAACCCTGATAAAGAACAAAGTAATACTTGGCTGAGGATTTGGAGCACAAAAAAAATCCTAAATGTACATGGAAGTTGTCTTTGTATAATGTTAAATGTACAAAACCAGTAGCTCAGGTTTATCATGTACCTTTTAAAATATACTAATAAAGATGATTATTGAAAATGAATGTTTTTGCTCTCATCAGTGTCTGAAATTCATATTGCTCAAGGTATTTTCTAGCAAGTACTCAAGTCAACAAAGAACATTTAAGTATATATGTATTATGTATGTATTTATTTCATTTTCATTCCGATTTTTTTTAAATACTGTAATTCACAGAAGTGTTTTTTTTAAAATAGATATTTGGAGGATTTCTGCTCAAATTTCTGAAATGTGACTCATCTAGTCTCCTCTATTTGGATGTGCGGAAATTCTCAAGACCCTGTAGTCTAGTGATAATTTTTGGTTCGACTTACCTTGCTCTTTGGAACAGTACAGGAAATGCCGCCATTGCTCTCTTTAGCTCAGGAATTCTCTGAACCTAGGGGTCCACCTCTTCTTGGCTTCCCTATTTTTGAGTCAGCGAATAGTATGGCCATCTCTCTCTCTCCCACCCATCCCTCTCCCTTATCATAAACTCGGATCGCATGCAAATTCCCTTCCCGGCAAGGGCCTTTCCTCCCACTGGCAAAAGAGCAATCGGGGAAAGCCCCCTGTGCCGTCTCGTTCTGGGAAATCTTTCTTCCCGTGCCCAGCAGCTACCAAAGTGACCCTTACATAATCCTCAATTACGCTTGTGAGTTTCCTTTCCATCCCACCCAACGTGGTCCTGAGGTAGGAAAAAGGCCCCCGGCTTCCCCTTCTGCTAGCATTCCCGACTGCAATGGAAGCTGCCCGGAGAGGGAGCAGAAGCAGTGAGAGAAGGCAGCTGGGTCTACCAGACCGATCGACGAACAGGAGAGAAGCTTCTCAGATTCACATATATAGACAAAGATGTCTATGTGGGATGTATTGGTGCATAAGTGTGTGGTGATGGAGGTGGGGAATGTCGGTGTGTTTACGCGTGCATATCTGTGCGTGTGAGAATTTGGGGAAACGACGCCTCTGTCCAAACCGCTCGCTTTAGAAGAAAATGCGAAGCTGATTCCGAGTTCTACTTGCTGGGTTCTGATCGCCTCCAAGCAAAACGCAAATCTCGTGTGTTTCTGGGAATACATCTTGAATACCAAGAAATCAAACAAGATTTGCAGGATTCAGGATTATTATTTTTCGATCTCCCCCAAACCCCCGTTAAAAGTGACTGCTGATAAATTTCTCCCATCAAGGTAGCGAGCAACACCTTGTTTTGCAGGCAAGATCTTAACTATCTATTGAGATACAGCACAGTACCATCTCTGTCTAGTTTTGGAATGTCTGTGCAGGCGTCAGCAGCAAAAGAGAGACAATCGCTATAAATCAGGGGTCTTCAAACTTGGCTCTTTTATGACTTGTGGACTTCAACTCCCAGAATTCCTCAGCCAGGCACGCTGGCTGAGGAATTCTGGGAGTTGATGTCCACAAGTCATAAAAGGGCCAAGTTTGAAGACTCCTGCTATAAATATATAAAGGTTGCCTTGACCACCTACAAAAGTGGCAGTTGGACATTTTCAGGAAAAGCTTTAAAATGTCGTTATACATTTGGGGGAGGGGGGTTAAGAAAAAGGATGATATACTTTATCCGAGGATAAATTTATAGTACCTCCAGGCTACAGTTGCCTTTAAAACTCAGACACACAAATTGAAGTGGACCTGATAACAACTTGATTCAAGAATTTGGGAAAAAGTCATTAACTTTTCAAAGTAGCTTTTGAATCACATATACTTTCGCCCCTCCTCCCCATGAATCATAAGCAAAAAGTGTTTAAGGGTCAAGTGTTTATATACATTTATATGATACATTTGATATATGCAATGGATCAGAAAGCAACTAATTGAATAATAAAATACATTAATTAGAGATAAGAACTGAACAGTTCAAAACATTGGTTCAAGATAACATTACACAAGGTGCAAATTTATGGATTACTCTACATGACTGCTTTTTCCAAAATAGTTTGTTTCTTTCATAATACTTGCGAGTGCATTCAAGGACTAATATGCTTTCTATTGTTTAGTTTCCAAAGAGGTTAAGTTCTTGCACTTAAAAAAAAAGTAATGAAATGGCTTTGGCTAAAAGGAAAATGGGTATCTTGAACTTCTAAATGACACATGGATGTCATGCTAAAGCTACTTTCACCTTTATTAAAAAGCTAATAATGAAATCTAAAATTCCAGGTAACACTATTATGGATGAGAAGTAATTTTATTTATGCGGGAAGTTCAAAAGTCATCATTTTAAGATGCATGATATTATAAATTTCAGTACTGTTTATTTGTGCAACTGAACAAATTGATGTATCATATTTTTAAAAATGATGTGTTAATTTTTTATATTAAATCATTCTATACTTTCTAAATACAGAAAGCAAGTTTTAGAATAATTGAATGCTTATACCCTTATTTGAATACCACTCATTTCTTCCTACGTATAAGTATAGTACAATAACAGACAAATTGCATCTTAATAAATAAACCATAAAACCTTTGGATACCCTGCCCCATCTATAATCAGGCAGCAATCTAAAACATCTAAATAAACCATCTAAAGCAGGGATGTCAAACTTGCAATGTCACATGACGTATCGTGATTTTTTTCCTCATTGCCGGAGGTGGTGGGTGCAGTTTTGGCATAATGCATCTGGCTCGCAGTTAGACACCCCTGAACTAAAGCATCTAAATAAATAATCAAATGGCTACTCAGGGTCCTCACTTAAGCAGTTCAGCTATCTCTAATCATAAATTAAATGCCCACCAAGGCAAAATGGTGTTCAACCCTTCCTGGAAAGCTGTAACAGCATAGCAAAGCAAACGTCTGGTGATGCAACACTCCAAAATGTCAGGTCTACTCCTGAGAAGGCCTGCATTTGGGCCTACAACTCAGTCTATTATTCATAATATCCACTCATATCTTGAATATCTAGATCACGGATGTCAAACTCGTCACGTGACATGTCGCAACATATTGCGACTCTTTTTGCATTGCCAGCAATGGGGTGGGCGCGGCTTTGGTATGATAAAACCAGCCTGCAGGCCGGCAGTTTGACACCCTGACCTAGATGGATTGGAGAAGGTAACCAGTAATCTGGTGCCACAACATGGAGATCTTTATATAGGTTAAAACCATTACTTTGAATTATATCCAGAAGCTTAACATAACTAGTACAGGGACTGTAGTATAGGTAGTCTTACAAGTCACTTAACAATCATTTGAAGTTATGACAGACCCCTGAAAGGTACTTACAACATGTTTCTAAAGTTCCAATGGCTAGCCTATGGTCATATAAACTAATCACATTTCATGCAATTGGCAACTGGCCCACATTTATGGCAATTTGCAGCATCCCATGGTTATGTAATTGATTTGTTTTTGCTGAAAACCAGCATTTACCTCTGCCCAATTGCAAATAATGAGTTTGCTTAATAATTGGATTCCCTTGATGACTGCAGCAAAAAAAAGATTGCAAAATCAAGTTAGTCACGTGAGGAGACTCCATTACTATGTTAAATTGAGGACAACCTATATATTTGCTATAATGCAATAATAGCATAGAGCCACAGTGATTTGACTGCTATAATCTGTACTAACTATAGTTTCAAAATGTTATAGTACTAAGTTCTTTTGATTGTAGTTAGCTCCCCAGTCATTGGAAATCAGGCAGCACACAAATTTAATAAATAATAATAATAATAATAATAATAATAATAATAGTTGTTGTTGTTGTTGTTGTTAAAAGTGAAATTTAGCATTGTGGAAAACCAGGAGGCTGTGAGTTCTAGCCTTCCCTTAGGCATGAAAGTTGGTTGGGTGACTTTGGGGCCACCTTTTCAGTCTAACACCTCACAGGATTATTGTGACGTGTTGGAAAGTAATTATTAGAAAATTAAACCAACTCCATTTTAGAAGTTAGTGCTTTCCTATTACAAAAAAGTGAAAGGGCCATGTAGGCAGATAAGGAATAAATTAAAAGAAACCATTTTGCTTCTAGCAACAGAGATAAGATGTGCCAATTAGAGAATAAAAAAATCAGCCCATAAAACCAGCCGTATAGGGGAGATGGGTAGCATAAAAATATAATAAACCAATAAAATTAATATTTTTAATTAGGAACGTTAAACTTGAGAATTCTAGAATTAGGCATGCAAATTAGTTATTTGTACATGATTATAAAAGAATGCTGCAGACCATCCCAGACTGCATTCAGTGCTTGTATGTTGTATGTTTGTTTTGTGTTAGTAAACTTTTGATTATTTTAAAATTATTATTATTATTAATTATAGTATCTGGTGTTGATGGTGGGCAAGGAACAAGTCAAAGAAAAGTAGTTCATCCAACATGGAAAAAGGAAACAGGAGTATAAGGCATGTTCGCTGTCTTGAACTATATATAAAAAAGGTGGAATAAAAATATAACCACAGATTGTGACCAAGGACGTATTCAAATTTGCAGAAAAATGTTTAAGTATATATCACATACCGGTAGTTGAATTATTGCCTCCAAACTCAGGCACTTGCGAATTTAGTGTGAAGCTGATAAGAACTTTATCCCTGGTCTGAGAGAGAGAATTTTACCTTTGCTTATTTGCCCATTCAAAAATATGAATTACCAAGTAATTCAATTAAGGCAAAAAGCATTTATTAGGGGGAGAGATCAGATCTTTTTATAAAGTACAGAAACAAATATATTTAGTATATATGATACATCAGAAAGCAAATAATCAAACAATAAAAGACATGACTACTATGAAACTTGAACAATAGAAAACATTGATTCTGGATAACATTTCACAAGTGGCAAGTTTGTAAGTTACATTACTGTTTCCCAGCTGGATTTGTATCTTTCTTAAAACTTGCCACTGTATTCAAGGATTTTTTAGAATATGCTGCTGTTTAGTGCTAAAAAGAGAAGTCTTCATTTACTAAAAGAAAAGATCTTGGATAAAAAGTAAAAATAATGTTTTCCTTAAGTTAGAAAAGAGGCCTCCACTGCCATATTAAAAGGGCTAATATTATCTTTTTTTAAAGTTAATAATGAAACCTAAACTTTGAGGCAGCAGAATTAACTTGTTTAAAGAACGTGCAATTTAACCTGAGATCTCTATGCTTTTAGATTTTACTAAACGTATGCCAAATTATTCAACTGTTAGCCTTTTAACTATTTTTACATTCCCCTTTCTGCGCTTTCAAACTGCAGTAAGAAACCTAAGATTCTTGGAAATAAATGAATATAAGCGAGCGAAGGCAAGAAACTGGAGGAGCCTTCCAGTTCTCAACAGGTGAGCGCCTGCAAACAAACGCCAAACAAACGTCCAAAGTCAGAGAGCCAGCTCCAAAGTCAACTTTGGATTGAGAGAGAGAGAGAGAGAGAGAGAGAGAGACTGTGGTCGATAGTGATAATGATGACGACAACGACGAGGATGGATAGTAACGGCTGCCGCCAGGCTCCCTGCGCGCGCCTTTAGAATACTGGCAGCTGCCGAGGAGGCGGTTAGCTGTTTCTCCGCCATAAACGTTCGGGCCGTCACTTAGCCGGGCTGTCCCGTCCGGTTCCCTCTCGAGACCGCTCTAGCGCTCGCGGGAACGGTCGGCGCTACTCCTGCTCCCGGGGTGAGAGCAGAGTGCTGGTAAGCAGGCCTCGCTAAAAAAAGACAGGAAGAAGAAGAGGCCATCGACCAACAAAAAGGTGGAACGCCATGGCCCCCGAAGACAGAAGGGCCGAGGCCGCGCCAGAAAGGGGACCACGCATGCGCATGGAGCGCGTGTGGAGCGTATGGCCGCTAATCTGTGGCTGCGGCTGTTTCTACTACATGAGCTGTCCGAAGCTGCGAAAATATTTTTTGGGTTTAAGTGGTTATGAAGTATGGCCATTCTTCCTTACGAACTTAGCGCACTTTTATGAAGCCCCTCAGAGTGTCCGCGGTTTCTTATGGTTCCCAAAGAGCTCGCTTTCTCGCTCTTTTTTAACACCTATCAAAGTCTTTGGGAGAGGGGTTGACTGGAGGTGCCTTGAAGAGTTTCACAGACATCAAAGTCCAGTTCCCATTTCCTTCATTGTGCAGCCTCGTCCTAGGCCAGCCCAGCCACCCCACTATTTTTTTTTTATTTTTTTTTTGTGGACGAGATAGATGGGTAAGAAAATGGGAGAGGGTTTAGGTCAGGACTTAAGTACTGGGCATGGCATTAGTCATTAGTACACTTTGAGTAATCGCCCAGTTTCCCATTTTATATTTTGCGGCTGTTTATTTTCCAGCATGGCATCTCCCAAGTATTTTAACAAATGGAAACTAAGAGATTGATTGGTAAGCACCTCCAGCCAGCAAGATCTCTGTGCCTCTCTTCTCGTGGTAAGTGCCTCTATCACCTCAAGTATTTGTGTAGAAAACACAACATTAGAAGGGCACTCAGCATATTAATGAAGAACTAAGCCTATTACTTTATTTTACAGCAACCTTAGCCACAGTATCAACAGACTCTGGAAGCTTTCAGGCTGACTTTCCGTGCAGTGCGTCTGTCTTTTTACATAATGAAATTAGTTCAGTAAGTATTATTTCAGTAAAACAGCAACAACAAAAAACCCTCTTTTATTTGAACCTGACACTATAGATAAGCTAGATACTGGGATTTGTAACAATGTTTTGCTAGTTTAACAACCCAGTGTCACATAACCCATTACTTGAACTTGTTTTGAAATACCAGACTTTAAAATAATAAATGTGATTATCTTGAATTTTAAACTACTAGGATGAGAACTTTGATTCAGTCAGTGTCAGTGTCAGTCAGTCAATCAATCATTAAATTTATATAACCATCCATCTCAGCCAATGATTGGGTGGCTTACAACTGAAAAAACAATTACAATTAAAAATACTAAAAAAAATGAAAACAGTAAAAACATCTGGATTAAATATGCATAGGAGCAGAATTCTAGGCCAGTTAGCAATAAAGCCAGAAAATGGGGCTCTTAACACATTCAGCACCCTAGCATGGGAACATAGCCAGGTTTTTAGGGCCTTATGAAAGACTAATGGGCCATTCTGATATCCAGAGGGAGGATATTCCATAGAGCAGGGGCCTTTGCAGAAAAAACTCATCTTCTGATCCCCACCAGCCAATATTCTGTACTTCTGTACCTACCTCAAATAAAAAAACTGGTATAACCTTTCCCAATTAACAAATTCTATTAAAAAGGAAGTTTCTGTGAGCTAGAGCTAAATGATGTACGATTTAAATTGGTAAGAGGCAGGAAGAATGAAAGAAGACAGATTGGTTAGGCACATAAAGATTATATGTTGGACAGATTGCATGCCGTATGAGAGGATGTATATATGTGGTGTCCCAGCCATTGGAGATATTGTTCGTGCTCTTTTTTTTTACTTTCAACTACAGCAGTCAAACTCGCCATGTCACGTAAATGTCAGGACGTATCACGACTCTTTTTGCATTGCCAGCAATGGGGTGGGCGTGGTTTTGGTATGATGAAACCAGCCTGCGGGCCGGCAGTTTGACACCTCTGAACTACAGTATAGAACCCTTAGGCTTAGATGTTTAAATCCCTACTTGAAAGAACAACCCACTGGGATCTGAATTACAGATTATCCTATTCCCTCCTGGGCTCTAATTAATATATTGTGAGCAGAACTGCTAAGTTTATACTGTAGTTAAGGCATTCAAGCTAAGAACCCATATCAAAGAGATTGGGGTATCCTGCAAAGGTCATATACTTAACTGAATGTTGATTCTCTGTATCACATATTTATTTTATTATTGTATTTTTATCTATTTTACCTGAAATTAGCAAAAAGGTTAAATGGGGAAAAACTCAAAATAACTATCTTGGTTAGCAATGGAAATTTTGGCTCAATTGTGGTCATAAGTCAGGGTCTACCTGTATCTTGTCCTTTCAAAATGTAAATGGTACATAAAAACAGCATACAAGAAACTTCAATTTTGTGGTGGCTGATCTGACAGTTTTATAGTACTTTCTCATGTATGCCTGTGAAAATGTGATAAATTTGAATGAATCTTGTTTCTGTTTTCCTTCCATGCTGTATATAGTACATAATTTCCAACCTCATGGATCTGTATTGTAGTTAATATTTTGGTGTTATGGTGAAACAAGTTTAAAATGGAGTGAGGTCTATAATTGAAGTGTTTTGGTGGTGTTCTTCACTATTAAAATTACACGTGGTATACATTGTATTTGTGATTCTGTGTATAATATCTCTTGCATGAATTATTAAAAGTTCCTAGAACCTTGTAAAATAATATACAAAGCATGTATATTAGACATATATGCATATTAGAACATAATATGTATGTACACTTTATTTTAGATATGTAAATCTAATGGAATGCTGGTTTTAAATGACAATATGATTCCTAGTCTGTCAGTACAGCATAAAAATGAAGTCACAAAAGGTAAGTATTAAAATGTAAAAAATTATGAAGAAATACACAAAATATATTTCAGATTATATTCTAGCAATTTTCAATTTCAATTAAATATTTGAAATTTATCTGAGAGCTTAAATGAATTTGTATTCAAGAACTCATTTAGCATACCATGCTTACAGCAAAAGTAGTATTTATATTTCTGAAATTCAAGGGATAAGTCATATAATGATTGCACTTCAATCCAATCTCTTTATAACACTAGACGCTGAATTTTAAAACAGTATATAAATTACTATAACATTTAGTATAGAATGCATAATCATAATTCAAATGATAGTTATATAACCATTCAGAACCATATTTTGTTGTGTTTAGTAATAGGAATACAGATTTGCTAACTAAAATTCTTCTGTAAAATTGTTTGCAAAAAAGTCTAGCTACTGACTTTCATTAGAAGATGCCTGATTTATATATTCCTATCACTTTTCAGTAATAATTTTTTGTGTTGGCAGAAAGAATAACTTATAGCAGAGATTTCCTTCTGAAACTTTCAGGGGTTTCACTTGCCCAAAAGAAGCCAGAATTTCTTCCTGATCATCCTATTGTACTGGAAAAGCCGGTAAGTATTTGAATTTAAAACTGAATTTGTAGAAATAATTTAGCTGACATTTAAATTGGTAGTACAGATTTATTATATAGTAAAGTTGTAGCATAGGTATCCATTCTTAATCACGATGATGACAAAATGATGATGCAGATAATTTCTTAACAGATTAGTTATCTCTGGTAGTTTAGGAAAGAACCACATTTCTATCACAAATGGTAAATGCTGCTACTTACTCTATTACAGTATTTTATGAATAAATGGGAAGAAATCTAAATGTATTATGCAAATCTACTCCTTGACCTGCATACAAAATCTAAGCAAAGTGAATTTTGTATATTTCATGGTATTAAAAACAATTAACTTTTAGATATAAAAATAAACTATAAATGATTGAAATGAATGTAATGAGGCCATGGATGTCTGAAGGCTTTAGAATTAATACATAAAGTAACAGGTGTTCATGATGTTGCACAAAAGTATATGCCAAAATGAAACTAGAGACATTAGGTCCTTCCAAACTCTTTCTCACTGAAATATTGGAGATGGGTTTTATAGTGAAAGTAGAATTATATGTAATGCCTGTGTATATGTGAAAAGACAGACAAGGAAAAGTTTCAGTAGCATAACACAATTTTTTTCCTGTTATGTAATTACATGAATTTGTGTAAACCCAAGAATTTTTTTTCATATTTTTTCTATTGCATGAAGTATTATATGAACTGTTTAGATTGAGTTATTGCTTATAATTCCATAACTCTGCGATTATTCACACAGTGGTTATAAATACTGTACCTGTGATTAAAAATGCCTGTCTGCATACAGGTAATCTTGACTAATGACAGCAATAGGGCCTGGAATTCCCATTGCTAAGTGATGCAGTTCTAAGAGAGAGAATGCAGGAGTGCAGCAAGGATCAGAAAGATGTTTGAGAGTGTGTGAGGGTCAGAGAGGGTACACAAGCATACAGGTGAGGGAGGATGCATAGGGATGCATAAGTAGCCAGCATAGCATCGAGGGCATGGGGCTGGAGGAGAGTGTTTGGATGAGACAGACTTACCTCAGTGACTTGTGACCTTCCCTACCACCTTCCCCATTGACTTTTTGGGGATGCTAGCACAGAAGGTGGCAAATGGTGATCATGTGATTGTTGGGTGCTGCAGCCGATTATAAATGCGAACCAATTGCCAAGTGCCCAGCTCCTGATCACATGACAACAAGAGTGCTGGGGTGGCCAGAACTTTGAGAACTGGTCATAGCCATTTGTAACTTCAAATGGTCACTGAGCAAATGGTCATTGGTTATGGATTACCTATATATCTTTCCAGTGATAGTGGCTTCTGGGCTAATAGGCTGTCATCTAATTACCAAGTATCCTGACATTTCATCAGCAGTTGTGCCTGGCATTTTCTGAGGTGACACTGATCTGCTTTGTAGCACATTTCTCAGAACTCCTAATTAGACCATTGCCTATTACTTTGAAACATCACTATTAGATTGACACTGGCTATGAAAGCCTGCATCAGTATATTAGTATAGCTTTATTTATGAGAATTGAGAAGAGAATGTCTAAAATAACTTTAACCACATTGGGTATAAAAAGCAATTTGTGGAGGGTAAAGCTCTGAGAGTTGCCAGTATGGAATACTATTCTTCTGGATGCCCTGTTACACATTCTTTTATCCATACATATTGTTAGTATGCATTAATTCATTTTTTGTATATTTTTCATAGCTCTTTTATTTATTTATGTTAGAGATTGAGTTTTTAAATAGTTTTCAGTTTTATCTTGAATTATGACTCAATTTAATAAATGCTAACATGTTTCAAAGCTTCTTTAAATATGTAATGTTTTCTATTAACTAAATATGTGGGGCTTTTGTTTTGTAGAAAAATTATTGTTTATTACCTGCTACAAGCAATGATAGATCTTTCTGAAGATAAAGAATGCGTCTCTTTTCACCATTTAAAAAAAATTAAGGAAAAGTGATCTGTAATATCAATAGACTGAATTCAGATGTATCTTTTACAGTTGGTGTAATCATCAGTAAAGCTATATTCAAGCAAAAATGTATGTGAATCAACTTCAACTGTTGTCTGATTCTGAATTAGTATTATATTAAATTTTTTGTAGTGATAGATAAAGGAAACAATTGCTAAAGTGAAGTAGGATCATTATCACTTATCAAATAAGTTGCAGTAGATTTTACATCCTAATAAGTGTGAGGCTTATTCCTTATCATTTATTATAGCAAAATGCCAAGTGTTAGGAACATGCCATATGTTTAACTGCTATAAACTGCTCATGTTTAGTGGCTATTTGCATTTTGACTAGATGCCAACTCATATCATAAACTAAACTGAGTTGGGGAACATGGACACACACATAACTTCTGTTTCCATGCACCAATCTGCTTGCTAGATTGTAGAATCTTTTAACATCAATATGTACAAAAAATGGTATAAACACATGGAATCTTTGAGGATCTTCAAGACAAACATTTAAGTGGTAAGTAGCAAAACACAGCCATCAAAGATGTGGATTATCCCATATCCTTATGTCCCAACTTAATTAGTTGCATAGAGGCAATGCTTGTATGGGACTGTTTTTATATTACAAATCTTTGTATTTGTCTTTTTGTCAAATGTTTAAAACTTTCAATTCAGTTATTAGGGTTTAGGTGTTACCTCATTTTTGAAAGTATTTTTAAAATATTTTAAGTTATTGTGTTAGCTGTTAATAATTTGATCTCTACATCTGACATTTCCCCCTCCCTTTCCCAGATTTTGCTGTACTCGTTTTTCCACATTTTTTTCTAGCATTTTCCCACAACTGCAGAGTCTACTTTTTTTCAAATCAACCAAGTGTTGATCTATTTGGTTGTGATAGGAATTGATCAATTGATTTGCCACCAGAGCCTGATATCATGGGTTGACAGAGAGTAACTGGATCAAAGTCACCCAGCCAGCTTTCATGTTTAAGGCCGCACTAGAACTCACAGTCTTCTCGTTTCTAGCTGATGCTTACGTTTTGGAACTACTAGATCAAACTGGGTTTCACTTTCTTTTCTACATGATAGCATCTAAATAGTTAACAAGATTTTGAATTCAAAGATACATCTAGTCCTCTAGTACAATGGTCCTCCTAACCTAGAGGTAGGCAACCCAAAACACTCAAAGAGCCACTTGGACCCGTTTCCCACTAAAAATAAAACACCGGGAGCCGCAAAACCCTTTTGATATCTAAAATGAAGATAACACTGCATATATCCTTTTTTACCTTTATTATAGGTGTTTGTGTGTGTGTGTTTGTGTGTGTGTGTGTGTGTGTGTGTGTATACACACACATTAAAAATAAAAGTAAAAATATCACTCTTGGGAATATCCATACTATTAAAACAATGATCACCAAGAGAATGCTTTAAGAGAATAAAATTATATACACACACAGGTAAAAAAAAAGGATATATGCAGTGTTATCTTCATTTTAGATGTCAAAAGGGTCTCTCTCTCTCTGTCTCTCTCCCTCCCTCTCTATCTGCCCTTGGTCTGTCACTCCTCTTCCCCCACTCTCTTTCTTTCTCTCTCTCTTTCCTCTCTCTCTCTCTCTCTCTCTCTCTCTCTCTCTCTCCCTCCTCTCTCTCTCTCTTCCTCTCTCTCTCTCCCCCCCCCCATCTGCTGCTCACCTGGCAAGCTTCAAGCTGTTGTCCAACAAGCTCGAGGGCAAGCAACCTCATCTCTTTTATGACTCATGGACTTCAACTCCCAGAATTCCTGAGTCAGCCTAGCTGGGCTAGCTAGCTCTCTCCTGCAGAGACGCAGCAAAGGGAGGAGCTCCGCCCAGTAAGCTTTTCAGCTCCTCCGAGAACACTGTGAGTGCACTCTCTTTTTTACACACACACACTCTCTCTCTCTCTCTCTCTCTCTCTCTCTCTCTCTCTCTCTCTCTCTCTCTCTCTTTTACACACACACACAGAGAGAGAGAGAGAGAGAGAGAAGCAGGGAAGTGCAATTGCCTCTCTCTGTCTCTGTCTCTCTCTGCAAAGGCAGAGGAGACTGGGAGCCACAGGGGAAGGCTCAAAGAGCCGCATCCGGCTCCGGAGCCGCAGGTTGCCGACCTGTGTCCTAACCTAATAAAATACCATTGTATTTTGTTGCTTTCAAACTTTTCCAAATTCTGCAAATAGGTTACATTTATAATGTTTTTCTGGTGAACATTGAACCTTGTGTTACTGGTTATGACTGTAAATGTGGAATAGTATTTGTTTTTGTGAAGTTTATTTTTAGTTGCTGTGTACAGAGCAACTAAAGATATTTGCTTTCACATAGAGCAGCATTTGAAAGTTTACATACATATATATCTATCAGACTATTCCCTTTCAAAATAAAATGTTCTACATAATGTGAAAAAGGAGTAAACGCAATAAGCCTAAGAAAATTAAAACACAATAAGACAAAGAAATTAAAGGTATGTGATAAGAAAAACAGCCAATTCTAATTGACATCAATATCTTTCCATAGTTGTGTTTGCAAACTGTTTTTGTTTCATGCACTTCCATACACAGTAGTGTCTTCCTGCCTCCTTTTGAGGTTCTGACTTCGGTTCCATTTTCTTTATCAAACATAGTTATCTTGGTTTTTAATAGATTACTTTTCAGATCCACGATCCTTGTTGCATCATATAGTTTAACATTAATTGTAAATTATCCAAGTTTTCAGCCAAAAACATCATATCATCTCCATACAAGGATATATATTCATATTCTGTCTGATGTCAAGATATCTATTCCTTATAGATTTATTTATAAACATAATGAAACTTTTTCTCTGACTATAAATATAAAACAGTAAAAGCACTTCAGTTTCTTCACAGATCTTTTTCTCTACACATCTGACTAACATCACTGTACACCAATTTAGTAGACAGAGATAACAATGTCAAACATGATGGTAGAAATGAATTTTCAGAGAACTTTACAAAAGAGAAATGCACATAGTAAACACAAGCAACGCAATATTATATTTTAAAAAGAGAATCATGAAACTAAAATGAATTTGTAGCATTTCATAAAATATTAATCAACAAATTTTACAACTGGATTTTTTTTTTAAATGGAAGAATCTATCAATGAAAGAATAGTCATGATTTGCTAACCTCAGAGACTATGATTGTTCTCTGGACGCTGTTTAACGCAGAGCCTATTTTTAAGAAGTATGTACTTCTAGTTGTTCAGGTTGCACCAAGAAGCTGAAAAGGAAATACTCATGATTTAAAAAATCTCATGTCAGTAATTCCCAACAACATTTCAAAGTATTGCTTAGTTTAAAGTTTTAAAGCATGTAAACAGATGTTTCACATTATTTAGTTATACCAGAACAGATTAAAATATACTGACATATATAATGTAAGAAATAGTATTTACAGAGTAACTCTGTAGAGTGATATGGGCAGCATATACATTTAATAGATAAACAAATAAACATGAACCCTGCAAAATTCCTACAAGATTAAAATATTTTAAATGGCATGATATTAATATACCAATTTGACTAAGACACTTAAAAATTGTTGGGCTTTGGCAGTCTTTTTTATCTGATTATAGTAACACCTTAGCTTTAGAGTAAATTACTTGTAATCTGCATATAGGTTTATGTATATTATGTGTTGGTTTTACCCCCTCTCTTTGGTATGGGAGGGAGCTAATTAAAATTCATTCGTTAACTCAATAATTTAGTAAAATGCTGTATATTTAAAAATGTGTGCTTGAGTTTAAATGATTTTTAATGTGGGAATTAGGCTAATCCCATTAGAAAGGTACCATATCTGAAAGAACCCTTATAGATTAACTTTGCCACTTCTGATGGAAGAGATACATGAAGGAGGATATTTCTAGATCTTAAATGTTGTATGGATACAGAAAAATTTCTTCAACTTTTTTGCTTCTTTCTGGATCATCACCATCTGACCCATGAAAATGATCAATCAATTCCTTAAATTATATCTGGAGGCATCCATGCAGCAAATCAAACTTAAACGAATCAGCACATTTGAATTATAATTTCTACAACTGTATTCCCTATCAATAAATGGTTTTGAATTATTTTCACTGAATGGAGATTGATTGTACTCAGTGGCCAGTTCTAACTTTGAAATTTATAGAATCAGAGCAATAATTCATTTGTACAGAACAAATGTCAGAAGTCAAACAGAGACTGGCATCAACTAAGTTTATACAGTCCATGAAATATTAATATTTTTGTTCTAAAATCCATACAGGTAATCCTTCACTTAGGACCACTATTGGTCCTGGAATTTCCATCGCTAAGCAGTGCAGACGTAAAGCAAGATGTCATGTGACTTCATCACTTAGTGACCACAATCTGGCACTCCCCATTTCCATTGTAGGCCCAAGAGCTTGTTAAGGGGAAAGAGGCAGGGATCCCAGGTGCAGAGCATAGGAGTGCTATTGGGAGGCGGAGGCCTGCAAAGGCTGGTGAAGGCAGTGTGGTGTGAACTCAGGGAGGCCAGAAAAAGAACATGCTGCAGCTCATGGGCTTCCTGGCACTCCATGGCTCTGGGGCTGCAAAAAGCCCCTGAGCTGCAGCATGAAGCTCAGCTGCAACCTGTCCCAGCAGTGCACCACAAAGGGACTTCCATAAAGCTGCTGCAGCCCACAAAGCCTCAGTCTATCCTCATGACCCTTACTGACTTGGGACCCACTACCTCAGCTGTTCTTTACCATCTTTTCCCTCTTGTTGGTGACTGATTCAGGCACTGGATATGGCTGCAGCCCTGGGATGCCCGCTCCTGCAAAACTTCGCCCCTGGAAGGGCCTCCTGCAAAGCCTCCATCATGGAAGTATTGCCTTTGGAGGAGGTGCTTCCAACAACAGCTGCAGAGTGTGCCCTGAGCCTCTGGACCACCCCTATGCTCTGTAGATCCTCCAGTTCTGCCAGCACCCGAAACAGCTTCCATTTTTGCTGGGGAGATGCTGTTGGCTCTCCTGCATTGCTTGGCAAAGGAGAGCATCTTGCTGTTTCACTGCTTCCTTTGCAGCCAGGCCTGGCAAACTCTTAGGGCAGACAAGGCTTTGCTGTTTTGCTGTGCTCACTGTGCACATCCCAACGCTGCACCCTCCACCCAGTACCTGAATCCTGGTCCTGCAGCAAGAAGAAAATAGTAAACGTCAGCTGTGAGAGATGGCGGCAGCGGGGGGCAGCAGGGATATGTACTGCAGGGTACCCAAAAGGGCAGAAATGGGACTATAGATGGGGGAGAGTCCCTCTGGTTTTAAGTATGGGCGGGCCCAAATTTTGATCACATGACTGCAGGGAAGCTGGAATGGCTGCAACTACAGGGACTAATCAGTCGATTTTTTCATTGCTGTCATAACTTTGAATTACTGCTAAATGAATGGTTGTTATTGGAGGAACATTTACAACTTGGCATTATGTGTGCAGCTAAGCTAAGCTACTATGTCTTGTTTACTGTTTGCAAAAACAAAGCAAAACAAAACAAAGTTATGACTAACTTTGGAATTGACAAATACACCTCTGTTAACCTATAATGCCATTCTGTGCATACTTAGAAGCAAGTCCCATGTATCCAATGAGATTTATACTCTAATAAAATTTTCTGAATGGATATTTATTTGCCACTGTTTCTTAAAGTAGAAGTAAATAATGATTGGGAAGAAGAACACAAGGAAATAACAAACTCTTAAAGTAAAAAGAAAAAATACTATTACCAGGAACAAGCATAGTTGTAATGTGTTCTGGAGTCTCCAGGCAATCTACATTACTTCTTTGGAATGACTTGCTATAATTCATCTGAAGATGGCTGGAGAAATAAGTAATATTTATTTTACCCAAAGTCATACTTAAAACTGTTTGGTTTACATTTTATAGAATTAAAATGCACCATGAAATTAATCATGAATAATAAAAATAGCCTACCCCAAACCTAGCTGTTCCAACTCACAAATGAACACAGGCTCATAACCAGATGGAACTCATGCAAAGAGATGATCTGTAATTAAGGTGCCTCAATGGGGCAGAGTGCAGTTGTGATTTGTTTTATCACAGAGCTTCTGATCTAAAAACAAATAGGGCCATTATGGGCTTCTGAGGTATTTGCTCTGGGGCTTTTATGCCAGAAAAGAGCTTTTACATGTAAAAAATATTGCCATATTAAAATGTTTTCTAAGTTTTGATGAATCAGTATTTTCATCTCTTAAGTCTATTAGAAACAATTGAATGCTTTTATCTCATTCTTTTACATTGCTTCCTGCTGGCCACGAAAACCTTTTTATATTTTAAGATTCAGTATTGTTGGAATTAGAAGTTGGTATTTTTCAAAAAGGTATAAAAGTAAGATAGTTGGCTCCTAACTGATTAAACCAATTAATGCAGAAGACTGACACACAGTATACTGCTTATGTTGCCTAAGCATGATGCTGATGAATAATAGTGTTTTAGAAGCCTACTTACCTGTTCCAAGCATTAATTTCCCAAAATTCATAAACAATGAAACAGGATTTGCCTGAAAGTTTCTGGATGGAAACACTAAAATATAAGCACAAAATTTATTTGGATAGAAAACAGCCCATATTGACATTTTATTTATGTAAAAACATTTATGTCTGCTTTTCATCTTTGGATTGGTACAGACCTAGTGACAATGCCTAATTTCTTTCTGTAATATTAAACTAAATTAAAGCTCACTTTTTTATTACCATGAGGTTGATATTTTAAATAAATCATTCCTAGCAGTAAAACCTCATATAAAACTGATTGAAAACCAAAATGCATTTGCAATAAATGTTACAGCATTCAGAGGGATGTTGAACCTAAAGCTGAGCAGAGTATGTTTTAGCAAAAAATAGTAATTTCTTGGCCATCGCATAGCAGTCATGTGAATTGTATGTAACATAATAAAAACTTGACATTTGCTGTTAAACTGTTCAGTAAGGAAATATGTGAACATATGGATAATTATTTTTACTGAAACTTCAAAAAAGTGAAATACTGTTAGTTTTTGAAAAAAATGAAGAAGCATTGAACTTAACCTCCCCAAATCTGACGAATGGGAGTACATAATCTGATACCTGAACACTATACAAGGAATATCTCTTGGAACACACAATTCCTTATTCAATTGGTAAGATTTGTAGGCAAGCCTATTTCCTTGGATATTTGACCCTCAGATGAATAAAATGGAAACAAGTCATGCGGTAATGCTTTATATTCAGCTACTTAATTACAACAAAATGTCAAATTTGAGACTTGCCAGCAGATGGCACCATATACATGGGAAATAATACATAAGATTAAATGGAAATGTCTCTTAATTTTCTTTACCATCATCAGATTACTGATGTTGATTATTTTCTCACTTAAATAATATTTTTTAACAAAGGTGTTGTAATCCTATTTCACTTACATTCTTTTGTTCACTGTACCTTCATGAATTTCATTATATGCTACTTTGACAAAATGGACAATATTTATATGAATAGCTAAATGTGATGCAAAGTATTTTTTTACATTGATTTGTTTAAATAGCTCCGAACTAGACTTGTCACCTAGTTCGTTTTGTCAGCAATAATCTGTAGCATGCAAACAGAAATTGGAATTCAGCCTTTGAGAAAAAATCTAATCTAGGCATCCAAATAAATTGACTGGTCTGTCATAATTTGTTAACTTTCTTGAAGTCAGAAAGTAGAGCACAAGTTATACAACATGCTGTAATGTAAAAGTTCTACTTTTTAACAAGCAAAAGTTTTGCAGTTAATAACGGAAGTTGTACATTTTGAATGATTTATACTGTAAATCTCCCTATAGTATAATGACCTGCATTCTTTCATCCCTTGAGAATAACATCATACTCACTGCAGACATCCATCCTGAGAAGAAGCCATATCTACATACTGCTTTAGAGCAAAGCGGAATGGCTCTAGTTCTTCTGTGATTACTGACATCTGACGTTGAACAATCATTAGTTGCTGGCAAAATAGTAATGTAATCATATTAATTGATATTAACTGTACTGTCATCATATTATGGTTTTTTTATTTTTAAAGCTTATTCTGAGATTGTTTTTCCAGTTCTTCCTTGCAACACCAGCCACATTACTCTGGGTACACTTAATAAGATTCACTTAGTTGTTACAGCCTTTTTCCCCCCCTATTTTTTTTCGTATTTTTATCAATTCTGGGCTGCTATTCCACATGCTATCTTGCTTTATGAATTCAACATGTAATAATACTTCTAAAGCTTACTTTTAATATATCTAGATTTTTAAAGCAGTTTATTAAGCTAGAATGCACACAATAAAATGACAATAGGTAAATTAGCTATCATAGGAAATATTCAGTCCTTTCATTGATTTTAAAATGGATCAGTCAAAGAATGACTAAGTCTGAATCCAGCTCCAAAGGTCAAATGATAGATAAAGCAAAAGCAAAGTTTTTCATGTTTGAGTGCAACAGGAGTACAGCAACATGTAAATAAATAAAAGTGTGGGATTCTTGAATCATGTTTCTAGAAGGCCTTTATTAGAAATAAGTGCCACAAAAGATTGTGGATTGAACAGAAGATGCCAGCATTAGCAAGTCCCAGGACAGATTTAGAACTCTGTTCCTTCTGCTTTTCCATTCATATGGATTCCATGGGGTAGAGTTGGAAAATATGACTTACAGATTTAGTATTTCCTTCTGAAACCTCTTCTTCTAGTGGCTCGAGCTTTAGGTCCTTGTCAACCAATAAAGAGGCAATACAAAAGTATAAGGATTATCTAATGATTTAGCAATCTTCAATAATAAAAAATCACCAATGCTATGATCCCTAATCAATTTTGGTAGAAAATATCATATAAAAATGGAGTGGAATTTAACGGTATCAAAAAGATTATTTCCCATTCTTGGGAAAACAGTCTAGCATTGTCCTCTGGATCCAATAGCTTGTGTAAAGAGATAAGTGATGGGCACCATTTTAGGAATCAGAAAAATACATCTATAGAGGTTGCTAGAATAGTTACAAATATTACTACCATCAGATCATTTTTGAAAAGGAAGAACACAGGACTATGCCATATACTGTCAAGTAGAGCCCTCTTCTGATTTATGACTGACCATAAAAGCCAATTTTTATGGTCAATGTATTTCCTCTTTTTCAAAATTAAAAACTACTTTTGTCTGGAATTGGTTGAAGATGGTACACATGACAAACATTATGAACTATGGTTGCAGCAATGATAAAGCAATCAACAGATAGTAGATGAAACAGTAGATGGCGATACTGCATCACATGAGAAAAGCACATCTTCTTTCCCCTGTCCTAACCACTTTCTACAGGGGGATGATCGAGAACATCCTGTCATATAGCATCACAAAAAAAAAAGTCTGGTTTGGAAGCATCACTGCTTCAGACAGGAAGACGGTGCAGAGAGTGGTGAGAATGGCCAAAAAGATCATTGGCAGTTCCTCCTATCCAGGACATAGCACAGAAGTGTTGCTTGAGCAGGGTCCATAAGATTATCTGGAACACTACACATCCTCTTCACGACCTGTTTTCCTTGTTATCTTCTGGGAGGAGGCTTCATGGTATCCGAAGCAGAACATCCAGATTCAGCCAGAGTTTCATTCCATACAGCATTAACCTTGCAAACTCTCAAGCTTCCTCCTTCTGTTATGTATTCAAGATGGACAGTATTTAATATTTATTTGCCATGTATATGTAGGGGTGTGGGTCTATACATACGTTCATAGTATGTTTAGGTGTGTGTCACGTATGTGTTTCACTTTGAAAGCGAGCAACTAAATTTCATTTTTGATGTGTGCCATTGTGCCCACAGTAAAAAAATGACAAAGGTTATCTTAATTTCAGCTAGTCAAATGTGCAATAAAATAGGATTTGCAATGGGTGGTAGATTAGAAGATAATCTACATGTAAAATATCACTTTTTTAAATATGGGGATTAAAAGTAAGTATATCCTGGACAATCAAAATGCATCCTTTCTCTCAAAAGTAATACATCAGGCTTCCTGGAACTTCCTTTATGCCTGTTGTTTAATGAGTAATAAAACTTTATCTACCCTATGTTGAAAGGCAGTAAAAATATTAAGAGAGCAAGAGTATGTCTTCATTTGCTCTGTGAAGTCACTGTGTGCTTTTTATTATATATTAGTTTTTGTTGTGTACCTGCTCAATATCAAAGAACATTTATACTGTATTTGTATTTTTTTTCCCCTGATAACAGCTGTGGTTTTTCTTGAACTTATTTATTTTTAAATACAATTTCCTTTCCTATTTTTTTTAATTAAGTCACAACCCCTGTTCCAATTCATATCACTTCCAAACTGGATCTTTTGTCAGCTTCTCTCACCACATAAAATTTGATTCCATTGTATTCTGTTGTTGGAAAGTTACCCTATCATTGAGTGGATAAACAGACTCCTGAACTCCTTAAATGCTGGAGATAGACATGTCCTATACTGTGCTTCTTTTTGGTTTGGTGAAAATATACACAACATGAATGAATGAAGAGGGTCTGTAAAGATTACAGATCAATTTGTCCTCTTTCTAGAACAAACTTCAGAGATTCTTAAACAAAAAAGGAACCTTAATACTGAATGAATCATATTTCTTACAGAAGCTTCCAGTAGGAAAGAGAGAAGTAATGAAGTGGTCATGCACACCTTCTGTTCTAGCTTATCAATCAGCTTCTGAAGTCTGTTTATTTGGGTCATCCAATGGTTATCCTCCTTGTGCAAACCTTTGTAAAACATACATACCTGAATTAAAAACATGATTGAAGAATGTACTTGCTTAATAAGACAAACTTTTATGATATCTGTGTATTGTTTCTTGGAGAGAGAAGGAATTCTTTGTTTCACTGGACAAATGATGCAAGTAAGGTATAAATCCCATATTGATTCTGTCTTGATTTAAATATTTCTACTGCTGCTTTCTTTTGCAAATGTAGGAAATCTCATTCCTCATGGATTGCTTGCATTGCAAATTCCCCCCACCCCGAATAAATATTAGTAAATATAATTATGCCTGCAAGTTTAATTCAAGCCCTCTGAATTTTTTTGGGGCAGCCATTTCTTGGTTTACTGCTGTTTTCTTCTGTTTTTTTTTTTTTTTTAACTCCTGTGTCACTAGTAATCTTGGAATATATTATTTATTTACATAGATACACACACCACTTCTTATTTAAAACACTTCACAGCAGTTTACAACTCCAAAATAGTTCCTCATTTAAATTCTAACCAGGATCAACTTTGCTTAATTTCTGAGAAGACTAGGTTTCTGCTAAAGTAAGTATCGGTGGGATCGGAGCAAATTACTTCACAAAATCAACCAGAGGCTTGGATCAATTTGCCAATAGTTCAGAAGGGTGGACATACAGTATATGTTCTCCACATCCAACTATCATAAAAACAGACCATAAAGGTGGAGATGGTCTTTTCATCAAAGTGGGTTATCAGGATGAATATGTGGCTAGCTCAAATTATTTTGTATGCAATATATTTTTTCTGAATATATTAAAATACATATCTAAAATATTATAATTCAAATACATTGAAATATTTTAAAACTTGCAAGAGGCAGATATAAAGCCAGTACTATACACAATATAAATATTAAAAATGATCAGAATATAAGAACTGATTGATTATATACATTTTTTAAAAAATGAAATTTATTTCTTCATTAATTTTATATGATGTCTTAGTTGCATGAATTTTAAAGAATGAATAAACAATGGTAAACGTTAAACAATATTACCTGGGTTCAAAAGAGGACTAACTGGAGAAAAACTATTATTTCTCTGGAGCCTTCGACCTGAACGTCTTCCTGGGTGTTGTATCTTGAGCAGCTCTGGCTTCTTTGGGACTTGCCTTTAGGAAAAGATACATAAAGCAGTTCATTATTTAAATTATTTGTATTTTGACTATTTGCAACCCTCTACATATAGATAAACCTTGTTAAACTTAATTGTTTTTGTCTGTCACAAAATTGACCCTAGATATACTGTACTAGTTATCAAAACAAAAACCAGGCAAGTTTAAAAAAAAAACTCCAATGTTGTGGACTACAGGAACCATATGTGCTTCGATTTGGGATACAGACAGCACAGATGTATCCCCAATGGCTTGCGCCTGTGTTCGGCAATGAGGGGGCAGAGAGCAGAAGACATCCTGCATCCAGGAAGGCTCCACAAACATTTGCACTGCTCAGGTGACCCTGAGGACCAAGAAATAGCCTCAGCAACTCTCTAAAAGAATGTAAATGCCCAGCTGCCTGCAAGGAATATAAATCCTTCCATTCCCCACCATCCAGTCAGAGCTGAAGAAGCTTCTTGTATGAGAAACAAAATGTCTTCAATGAAAAACCAAGAAAGTCCAGTTGCCTCCTGAAAAAGCACTTTGAGACAGCTATTTTCAATCTAACTACAAATCTTGGGACAGGTTTTATTTTATAGAAGTACTAGCAAAGTGTCATTCTCTAAATTGAGCAAGACATTGGACCATAGTAGCTTCTTTCCTAAAATAATTTCCAGCATGCTGCCACTGTGACACAATAGTAAGAAACTTACTGCTCTTGTTGGGTTTGTTCTTCTGTGGTTTCCATGGCACATTCCAGGGAATTATGCAGAGACTGTAGTTGATTCAGAGTTTCTTTTAACAAGAAGTGAGTCACAAACTGTTCCAACTTAGAAGCCTCTTGATAATTCTAAAGCAAATAGGGAAAACTGATAGTAAAAAGAAAAAATGTAACCTTTCTCAGCAACAAGTACTTTATTCCAAATAATAGTTCCTTACAGTCATAATTATAAAATCATATTTGGTATGTTCCAATTGTTAGTCCAAATGGAAAATTTAAAAAAAATCTACATTCTTAAAAAAAAATTATGTATGTTTCCAGCTGATCATCAGGAGCCAGCCTTCACTTGTGGGAAGGTAAGTGTTCCTTGGAAGTTGAAAGAAGGTTAAATCATATTAAATTACAATATGGTTAGTTTGATTTTGCTTATTGTGTTGTTCGAATCCATCCATTGTAGACTAAACCATGATTTAGCATATTATCCAACTCATGCTTGGAGTTTGTTCACCAAATCATGTAAACAGCAACAGTCTATGAATGGAGATACTATGACTCATTCAATTATTATTAAAACAAGCCATTAAGGAAAAATATATGTACTGGACTGTGTTACCTTGCATTCTTGTATCTTGTATTCAAGATTTGCTTTATTCTAAGATTGTTGGACGATAAACTTTTAATTTATATTTTCACCTTGTTGAATCCATTTTCAATCAAATAACTTGGCATATTTAGCAGTATAAACAAATTTAAAAAAAATATTAAGGGCAAATTAACATTTTGGGTATGCTTATATTCCACTGGCTTTTAAGCCTTACAGTAAAAAAAATGACCAAATGGCCAATTTAAAAATTAGTAAAATACAATATAAGTTGGATATTAAAAAATATTATTTAGTTTTTCAATAACTTATATTTAAAATTTAAAATATCTTATAGATTTTATTCCTTTTTTTATTTTTATCTTTTATTTTTATTATACTTTCTTTTATCTTTTTTTTTCTCGTTTTCTTTATTCTTTTTTCTTTCAAGTATTATTCTTTTGGTATTTGTTTTTATATATATATATTATTGTTAATTATCTTATAGTTTGTTTAATTAATGTATTTAGTATTTAGATTTATTCATGGTTTATATTTTTTTAAAGATTTTTTTGAAGAAATTTCAATTAAGCCTATGTTCAGCTCTGGGAAGGTCGGGGGAGGGAATGGGAGGTTTGGGGATGGGTTGCTTTGTTTTTGTAAAATTTCAAAAACTTAATAAAAAAAATTAGTAAAATACAGATTTGTAATTGCTAAACCTAATTTAAAAAAATTACACATTTAAAACTGAAAAAGCATTCAAGAACATTGATCAAAAGGTCTGCTACCTGAATTCCCAATGAATGATTCTTGAGAAAAGCATCTGTTCCCTTATCTTCCCCTTGAAGATGCTCAGCCTTTCCCCCTTCCACCCATCCAAATGGTAAATGTATCTGCCCAATTTTTGAGTTTTCTGATCTGATAAGAAAGTGAAGTTTGGCATCTTCTCCAATATAAGACTTGCTACAGATAAGTGCAGCACTTTAGCTGTGACCTTGGTGAGAATGTAGCAGGGTTGGGATCCTCCCTCTGCTCTGCAATTTACCTATCAGCCGTGGCATTTTTGTTTTCTAAGCCAGTGGCCAACACATAAAGAAAGAAATATCCTAGAAAGGAGCAGGACAGTGACGCCTACATCACTCTACCCTTGATCTGCTAACCATCTAACTGCCTGTCAGCCCTATCCAGCACACAGATCATCTGCAGATGTTATAGGTGCTACATGTGATGAGCTAAGGCATTCAAGTAAAACAAGAATGGAAAGATCCCACTCTGCAAACGAAGCCTGCCACTCTCGTCATCTATCAACTTGCCTCTTCACCCAGCCCAGCCTACATTAAGGAGAATGATTTATGGGTGTCACTTGCAGACACTTCATTAATAGACACATCACCGTGAACTATTAAGACAGCAACACTTGCCAAGTCAGATTAAGGACTGGCTATGAGGACAGAGCAAAGGATGCTAGCATGATCATAGATTGGAGGAAAACTTGTTAAATCAATGGTCTGAATATATTCTTTATGATTTCAAATGGTTTTTATAGCAGCATGTTTCAGTACGTGTTGCATACCGTGTTTTCCTGAAAATAAGGCCAGGTCTTATTAATTTTTGCTCCAAAACCACATTAGGGCTTATTTTCTGGTTAGGGCTTATATTCAGGGAACTACAATACTAAATGTGTCCGTTTGGCTGACAATCTTAACTGGTGCTTAGTTTTGGGTGAGGCTTACGAGCATCCTGAAAAATCATGTGAGGGCTTATTTTTGGTTGGGTCTTCGCGGAAACACGGTAGATACAATATTATTATAGCACAATAATACAATTCAGTGAGTAGAGATCAAATATAAGTATCACATGGAAAGCAAGGAAGAATATAACACTTTAGTTATTACAAATATGTTGATTTTAAAAAAATAGGCCAAAAGTATCTCTTATTTCTGTTCTTTGTGTTAAAGATAAGTAGGTTATTGAAAACCCAGTTGTCACCCATCTTAGAAATTATCCATATTAATGGATAGCAGAAGGCAACATATTTTTCACAAATATTTTAGCATTCATGAACATTAATCAAGCCTATAATACCGTCAGTCACAGTAGCTGTTATTTCTACCATTAATTGGGAAGAAAAATTCTGAGAAATTAAATTCCCTGCTTTTAAGATGATAGCAACTCTGCATGAAAACATTTATGGCTGATTTTTGAAAGTGTCAGAACTCATTTGTTCAAGTAAGGCTAATTTCTGTTTTCCTCTACATTATTTGACAAGGCTGTCTCTAATTAGATTAAGGATGATGTTTCTGGAAAACACAATATAATTGCTAGTGGCTTTCATTCTCTAGACATGAGGCTAGCGCCATATAGGAAAATGTTGCCAGAAACTGACAATAAGACTCTTTTTTTTTCCCAGTAGACACCTACAAGTATTTGAACTAATTATGCCTGAATAACTATATGTTTTGTGGCGAATGAAGAAAGATAGATGAATTATTAGGAGATCTACCTTTCCTTTACTGTATAAAAGTTCAATAATATAAAAGGAGTATTTACATCCTTTACTTACAGATGATCAGAGGATCTTTCAAAGTCTGCTAACATCACAATGTGTCTCCTGGGCTGAGAATTTTGTTTTGGGAATTACTGTACAACACTGTTTTCAATCATGCTGATTCAATTAGAAAGAAATGGTTTTCATTTTTTTTCTTCAAAGAAAAACAAAATTTTCTAAAATTCTCATGGATTTTCATAATTACCTACTAAATAGCCAGGAGTGTATGTGGATGTTCTGTGCTCTCACTTCATTAACTGGTATCCTTTCTGTACCTGATGAATTGGCAGGTGAGTTGGCCACGGCACAGTGGCCATGGCGAATTATCCTGTTTCTGCCTTCCCATACTTCAATTAAATTCAAAAGAAGGTTATCCTACAGAGTATCTATATGGGGCAGGTGGCTCAAAACAGAATACATAAAGAAATAGGGAAATTGAAAAGGTACTTGTAAAGGAAGAAAAATCCAAAATCTGATATCCTTCACCTCTTCTTTAGGGCGCAGTAAATTCAAAGACACTATCAATTCTAAGAAAAGTTGGATTGTCAGCAAACCAGAAGGAAAAGGATTGGTGGTGGTTGTGACTAGGAGAACCTTTGTATAGCTTTGGTTTGTGCACTAGCTGCAGCCTTTCTTGGATCAGTAGTCCCTGAGTTCAATCAGTCAAGCCCTTGTCATCTCTAATCTGGATTACTGCAATATGCTTTACAAGAGACTACCTTTGAAATGCATTTGGAAGCTTCGACTGATACAAAGTGCAGCAGCACAAGCAGTCTTTGCAATGTATAGAATGACCCATGTTACACCACTGCTTTGTGAGCTGCTCTGGCTACTGATTTGCTTCCAGGTGGAGTTTAAGGTGTTGGTTATGATCTTTAAAGCCTTCCATGTCATAAATCCAGATTATTTGATGAACCGTCTCGTTCCGTTAGGACAGTGGCTCTCAGCCTTTTCTATACCCTGCACCCCTAGAATGCTTCTGCTTTATTCTCGCACCCCTTACAAATGTTTGAAATAACAACAAATTATGCATGTACACTACAATTTTGAAAACCCAAGTTTTCACGCCCCCTGGAATATCGTCTCGCACCCCTAGGGTGTGCTCTACTCATATTGGTAGAGGATGCCTTCTGAGGATCCCTTCAGTCAAGGAACTCTGATTGATGGGATCCTCCACCCTATCCTTCTGCAAGGACCTGAAGGCCTGGCTCTAACAGTTAGCCTGGGGACAACTGTTAGCACAAAATTTCTATTGCTAAGCAAGGCAGTTGCTAAGTGAGTTTTTGCCTCATTTTATGACCTTTCTTGCCACAGTTGTTAAGTGAATCACTGCATTTGTTTAGTAACACAGTTACTTCGTAACATGGTTGTTAAGTGACTCTGGCTTCCCCACTGACTTTGCTTGTCAGAAGGTCATAAAAGGGGATCATATGTCCCCAGGACATTGCAATGGTCATAAATATGAGCCAGTTGCCAAGTATCTGAATTTTGATCACATGATCAATGGTCATAAGTGTTAAAAACAGTTATAACTCACTTTTTTCAGCACCTCTGTAAATTTGAACAGTCACTAAATGAATGGTTGTAAATCAAGGACTACCTGTAATTCAAGATAGTCTGATTATGAAGTTTGATTGTGAAATCTATTGGAACCACTGCTGGTCAGTATTTACAATATTTTCCTATGTGTGTCTTTTCCTATCCACAGCATGAGATTACCCCTCTTTCTAACCAGCAATCCTCTCTGTCCAAAATGTGGACTTTGCTGTCTTCAAAAGAGTGGCTTTTGTCTTTTAAATCCAGATGGACTGCTGAATCCAGACACAAACTGAGCAACGTGGTATATGCAGTATAATTCAATGAGCCATGTGCAAATCTGTACATTGGGGAAAAAAACAACCACTTCCTAAATGCATGGCACAACATAGAAGAACAAACCCACCAGGACAAGATTCAGCAGTCCATCTACATTTAAAAGACAAAGGCCACATTTTGAACAGA